CATCCCCCCATCTATAGGGGCGGGGGTCCATTCTCCCATCTATAGGGTGCAGGAGGGTCCATCCCCCCTATCTATAGGGGCGGGAGGGTCCATAGGTGCCCGGGACTCCCTAAGACCCATCCGCAGGAGCGGCAGCTCCTCGCACGAAGCGGCGCCGGTGCCAGCAGCGGATCCGGGAGGGGGCGGGGAGAGATTTGGGGGGGTTTGGGGAGGGTCGAGGATGTGGAAAGGGGTCCCGGGGGGGTCCCGGGGCCGCCACTTCAAAGAGCCGCCGCCCGCGGCTGGATCCGGTCCCGGCGCGCCGCGAGTTTGGGGCGATTTCGGGGGGGTTTGGGGCTGTTTGCGATCCGAGGGTCCCGGGAGGGGCCGGGGGGGAATTTGGGAGGAGATCTGGGAGGGTTTGGAGGGTGGGAGGGAGCGGGAGGGGGAGAAACAGCACTAATGAGCCATTAGCGGGTGATTAATGCGGCGGGGAGGGGGATGGGGGGGAGGGACACGCGTGAGGAGGGGTCGCGAAGGTCGGGGGGAGTCGCACGAGGGTCGTGTGAAAGGAGGAGCGGCGACCCCCGGCCCCTACAGCCGCTGTACGTGACTGTAAGGACCTCACAAAGACCCCCCACCCCCCCCCAAACCTCACCGGGGTTCGCGACCAAAGACCCCCAAAAGTCCCCATCGGAGCTGCTGGCGCCGCCCCCCGAAAATCCATCGGAGGTCCCGGGGTTCCCGGTGCGGGCCCCAAAGTCCCCCAAAATCTCCCCAAGACGCACCGGGTGTCACCGGCGCAGCCTCCCCTGTGGTCCCGCTGCCACCTCCTGAAGCCCCCAGAGACCCCCCAAAACCCCCCAAAACCGCTCCGGGGGTCCCGATGCGGTCCCCTAAAGCTCGTCAGGGCTCCTGGGGGTCTCGGTGCTGCCGATGCAGTCCCCAAAAACCTCCCAAAGCGCCCCGATGGTCCCGATGCCACTCCTCAAGCCCCTAAAGACCCCCAAAACCCCATCGATGGTCCCGGTGCCGCCCCCAAAGCCCCCGAAGCGCCCCCACCTCAAACCTCTCCCAGTGGTTCTGTGCTGATCCCCAAGACCCAGCGGAGGTCCCGGAGCTGCCTCTGCAGTCCCCAAAGACCCCCCAAAAACACCATCGGGGGTCCCGGTGCCGCCCCCAAAGCCCCCCCAGCGGTTTCAGGCGGTTCTGGGGGTCGCGACGGCGGCGCCGAAGCCCCTCCAATCCTCCCAAAGCCCCCCCCAAGCCCTCCTGGGGGTCCCGGGGGTCCCGGAGCCGCCGCGTTCCGGCCCCGGCTCCATTTTTCTTCATTTGGAGCCACTTTAGTCCTGACGCCGCTTTTGATTTGAGGCTTCGGCGGCTCCGGGGCGGGGGGGGGACAGCGGGTGGACCCCCGCGAGACAGAGAGACACGCGCAGGGAGGGGGTGAACAACGAGGAGACTCCCCCAAAACCGAGGACACGCGTGGGAGGGAGGGGGAAAAGGGAGAGTCGCCCCCCGAAATCGGGGAATAAAGAGGGGGAAAGAGGTGACGCCCCCTTCCGAAATTGGGGAGATAAATGGGGGGGGGGGGCGACAGCGGAGGGAACTCTCCCGGCAGGGGGAACACACGGAGGGGACAATAAAGGGAGGAAAAGCGGAAGAACCCCCTAAAATTTGGGAATAAACGGAGAAGAAAAGGGGTGGACCGCCCCGAAATCGGGGGCATAAACAGGAGGGGACAGCGGGCTGACCCCCCCCCGGGGCAAGGGGACACGCGTGGGAAGGGGGGAACAGTGGGCGGACAGCCCCGGGAACCGGGGACAGACGGTGGCGGCAATGGGGTAACCCCCGCCAAATCCGGGAGCGGCGTGATGGTCCCGGGGACAACGAGGGGTTTTGGGGGGCCCAGGGAGGTCGGGTTGGGACGAGGGGGGCTGAGGGGGTTCTGGGGGTGGGGTCGTGGAACGTTCCGGGGGGGTATCGAGGGGTTCCGGGGGTGTTACAGCTACCGGGGGTGTCCCGAAACTACCGGGGGGTACTGGCGGTACCCGAGGGGGTTCGGGGGGGGTCCGGGGGGCTGCCGAAAGTGCCGGGAGGTGTTGACTGTACCGGAGGGGTTCTGGCAGTGCCGGGAGGGTGCCGGCGGTTGTTGACGGTACCGGGGAGGTTCGGGGCGGGTTCCGGCAGTGCCGGGGGATGCTCCGGAGGGTGTTGACGGTACCGGGGGCGTTCCAGCAGTGCCGGGGAGGATCCGACAGCACCGGCGGGTGTTGACGGTACCAGGGGTGTTCCGGGGAACCGGGGAGGTTCGGGGGGGTTCCGGCGGTACCGGGCAGTGCCGGGGGATGTTGG